ATGTTATTTATTGTATTGAGTACTTGTATGGCAGGTATCATGTCTATATAGTATCATGACCTCTGACCTTTATATTTGATCACTTAACTTGATACACAAACCCTCTAACCCCAACCCTAAAACCCCCGATACTGACAATTATAGTGATACCTCAGTTTTTACCCTAGCCCTAAAATCCTGACAATTACATTGATGATACCTCATTTTTTATTCTAGCCCTAAAATCCTGACAATTACAGTGATACCCATTTCTTTTTTACCTAGCTCTAAAATCCTGATATTTACAGTGATACCTACTTTTTTACCCAGTTTTAAAATCCTGACAATGACAGATACCTAATTTTTTTTTACCTAGCCCTAAAATCCTGACAATTACAGTGATACCCAATTTTTTACCCTAGCCCTAAAATCCTGACATTTACAGTGATACCTCATTTTTACCCTAGCCCTAAAATCCAGACAATTACAGTGATACCCAATTTTTTACCCTAGCTCTAAAATCCTGACATAATGATACTATGAGGGGAAAAAATATTCCTGAGACTATACTGTAAACCTTCTGTAATTTTTATAAGACCATTTTATTCTATCCACACTATGTATCACCTGTAATAAATAATTCAATCTTGCACTGGGAGTTATGGCTACTATTTACAAAAAATATCTGGCCAACCTGCGCATGTGCTAACCAGTTTACCATATTCAGGTTGGTCTCTCATTACTGTAAGATTACATTTTAACCTTTTTTTTTTGCTCAAATAATTATTCCATCAGGTTTAATGATATATAAAAATCTGTGAAATAAATTTTGTCTCACTGTAATATTGTTTGTTGTTTTTTTTTAAAGGTCTTACTGTAATATTGTTTTTTAAAGGTCTTACTGTAATAATTTTTGTTGTTTTTAAAAGGTCTTACTGTAATATTGTTTGTTAGTTTTTTTTAAGATCTTACTATAATATCGAATGAGTGGGGGGGGGGGGGAGACTGCTCCCCTTCCCGAAGAGATGCCTGAAAGAAACTCTGTACTTGAGGTTACATCAGAGGACAGTAGGCATAAAAAAGTTCAAACTGTTAGAATATTCGAGAAACGACAAACTACTACATACATCGTGGTAAAATTCTAGCTGACTCGAGAGTTAAAAAGATGTCAATTTAGGCTCCCATGTGTTATAACTCTTGCTTACTTAACAATATTAAGTCTCACACTCACAATGAAAACGGTGTATTAAATGGGTGAGTAAAAATAAAAATTGCACCGTTTTATGAGCCTCGGTGTAAGTATAACTGTACAGTTACAGCAAAGATTGAACTCTAGCGTATCTAATTGTGCCTACAGTTGAACCCGACCTTTAAAATGTCATTGATTAAAGATCTTTGAACTTGGGTGGTTTTCTGGACACAGGTATAACCTGCTTAAATATGTAACAAAATTAATTTAAACAAGTCGCGTGAGATTACGGTTATCGACGCTTTTTGTGACGTGTAAAGAAGGACAAGTCCGATAATTGGATACATCTGGTGCCAGTCTATACATGGTGTCATACACTGGTGGGGGGGGGGAATATCAGACTTTAGTCATGATGTCTGAAGGGGGAGGTTCAGACTTTAGTCACGATGTTTGTAGGGGGGGGGGGACGGAATTTCAGACTAGTGACGTGTCACATGTCCATAGGAGGGTTGATAATCAGATTTTTGTAACGATGTCTGTAGGGGGGGGGGGGAGCACGAAGTATCATGTTATATACATTTTGCATTTCTTAAAAATAAAATGCAGAATATATATTTGTGACAAAATTCAACTGGTAGGATGTGCAGTGGAACTGTGAGACGTAATTTGGCGTTGGTCTAGCTAGCATAGTGAGGTGGCGATGAGCGGTGAATGTGCGTGTAAACTTCGAATAATATCAGCATGACTTACGGGGTTTGTAAAATTAATGCGGTCCTCTTGCCCCGTTCACTTTCTATCCGGTGGTGTCAAGTCTTTATATAACTTAATTCATGGACCACACTTGGCTATTCATTTCATTGGATGCATCAGAGTTTATAAGTTTTCATTTGGTGTCGCACGTCCTTCTAAACAATATATATATATATATATATATATATATATATATATATATATATATATATATATATATATATAGGCCAATATATATATAATATGTGTATATCTATCTATTCATATATAGTATATATATGTATGTGTATATATATATATATATATATATATATATATATATATATATATATATATATATATATATATATATATAAAGAAACGAGATATTGGGAAACCCGAAGTGTGTTTGCATCATTTTAAGAATGTGAGTTTTTGTGGTTAAAGTTACTTCACACATGCGTAGTTTATGCGCGTAAAACGTCAACGTTGAATGGTTTGTGTACAAAACTGTGTTTGCGTACACACGGTGGAGAGGAGGGGGTGGTCAACAAGCACAGGACAGCCAACACAAAGACGTGACTTAGTGAGCTTAGGTTCGAACCCCCGTGTCCCGCCCCCTCAACGGGAGTCAGAGAACCACAAACAAACATACAGTCAAGGTCGTTGTACCACTGACCCGGCGGAACTCTTCAGTCAATTCACGTTAGATGGGAAATTTCCTTTTTTTTTAAGAAATACTATTTTAAAATGTCAAATTTTTGTTTCTGCACCTCTCATATATATTATATTTATATATCTATAATATAACGCTGCTGGTAGTGTGTCAGTCCGTCATCGCTATAGATTTTGGAACCATAAAAGTAAACATCGCACCATGTAGTGCTTTGCAGTACATCACATTGTCTTATTATAAATATTAGAGTAGGGTTTGTTTATATAACGACATAGAGCTATTTTATAATTTCCACTGTTTGTACAATTTTGCATAACGTAAAGAGAATATTAAATACACGCACATTGCTAAAACATATTAAAAGTATCAATGTCAAATATTGTTTTTGTTAATATTCCTAGAAAAAGTGGATACATTTTAATAACATAATAACTGTAGGTTAGAAAAATCTAATTAAACTGCTTAGTAATTTTGCCAAGGGAGGTATTTTAAAAATAAATTGAACTCACGCTAAAAATGTGAATGCAAAATCTGCAAGACGGAATAATTGTTGGAATAATATAATTAGCAAAATGTGAATGCAAATTATGCAGACGTGTAAGAGTACATTATTGTTGGAATATTATAATTAGCATTGATTGATAAAAGGCTATCTTTTATTTATTTTATTCACTGAATGTACTGTTTAATAATTATAATTTTTAATCAACTATTCTCCATTATTATATTAAGTCATCACGTTCATTAGGTGCGCAATGGTTAAATTGGTTTTAGTCATGAAACTTTATTGTAAATTTTAAAAAGTAGGCCTACTGAAAAAATGCATTAATTTATAAAGTGCAATATGGTCGGTAAAACACGGATATTCTAAATACTGCCTTCAATTTATTTTCTACACTGAACATATTGTTTACTAATTATTATTCTATCTTTCGGTTTGCGGACAAGCTAGGGGTTTTATAGCAGAGGCGTAGCAAGGGAGGGGGCATATGTCCCCGGGCGCCGACCTTAGGGGGCGCCAATGTGGGTTGGAAAAAAATTGCGGGGGGGGGTTGGAAATCGAAAGTTTGAGGGCGGTGGGAGGGTGCAAATCGAAAGTTTGAGTGGGGGAAATTTTAAATCAAAAGTGGTGCAAATCGAAAGTCTGAGGGGAGGTACAAATCGAAAGTTTGAGGGGATAGGGTGGAAATTGAAATTTTGAGGGGAGGGGGTGCAAATCGTAAGTTTAAGGGGGGGGGGTCAAATCGAAAGTTTGTCCCCGGGCGCCGGAAAGGGTCGCTACGCCTCTGTTTTATAGTCATTCACTGTGTCAGACGCGTCCGCCGGCGCTCGGAAAGGGCGCGATTTGGCGCTACGAGCTAGACTGTGAGCAATATGCCTTTATGATTGCATTTAAATTGAGTTTATGTTATGAGTGTTGTGTTTGTTTTTTCGTGGTTTTTTTTTTTTTTTTTTTTTTTTTTTTTTGCGTTCGTTTGTGTTGTGTTTAGTTTTGTTCTGTTCTGTTCCCAAGTTGGTACATTTAAAAAACATTTACCGTGGCGGAGCACGGGATGCAGCTAGTATATATATATATATATATATATATATATATATATATATATATATATATATATATATATATATATATATTTTATATATATATATATATATATATATATATATATATATATATATATATATATATATATATACATATAGGCCCCCTATATATATAGATATATACAGGGGCGTAGCGAGGGAGGGGGCGGGGGGTGCGGACCGCACCGGGTGACACCATTTAGGGGGGTGACACCAAGGCAAAAAATAGCAAAATATATAGAGAAAAACTCGAGGGGGGATGCAAATCGAAAACTTGAGGGGGGGGGGCAAATCGAAAGTTTGAGGGGGGGGGGGGTGCAAATCGAAAATTTGAAAGTTTGTCCCTGGGAAGGGTCTCTATGCCTCTGGATGGGGGGTGACACCATTAAGTGCCGCACCGGGTGACACCCGACCTCGCTACGCCACTGGATATATATATTTATTTATTTATATGCGTGCCATACCACTGACTGACTGAAACACTACCTAGCGGCTTATATATACACTTATAGTTAGATTATCTATATATGCAGTATATTAATTATATATACAGGCCCTACAGTTTTATATATATAGTTATATATGTGCGTGTGTATGTTTATGAAGGCTTATATTGTTAGAAAAATATTTGCTAATATATTTGAAGTTTTGTAAGGACATGTGAACGAAGTAGTAGGGATACTATTTTATTTTATTATCAATACAACACAACATAAGCATCCAACTGACGAACTTGATAACACCAAAAATTATATCAGATAACAAGTAAAAACAACAGTAGTTCGTGTGAGTGTTGAACCAAGGTTTATCGGTTATATAAGAGCTGAAGGGCTCCATCGTCTGCTGATAGCAAACAGCGGAAACTCTGGTCTGACTTTGAGAGATTACCGCTTTAGTGACTTAGATCTCTACAGTCCTCCTGTCTCCGTCATTCAGCCGTCGGTCAACTGTGAAGAAAGAGGACTATAGAAATTGGTCTAAGATAAAAAGTCCAGGCAGAAAGACCCTAAAAAGGCGAACGCATTTGGGCAGCTTCTTTTCACGTCTGATAGTTAAATCAACGGAGTCACTTCCCCTGTTAATTTTCTTTACTGCAAGACCATTTTCAGCAGGTAAATTTGTTTCGTAAAAATTTTTAACGGGAGATCATTTTTAGCAGATAAATGTGTTTCATAAAAAAAAATTATAACCGCAAAATCATTTTAGCAGGTAAATTTGTTTCATAAAAATTACACTTAAAAATTATATTTCTTAGTTCAAAGGAACAGAAAGTAATGTTAAATCAACCTTTTAAACACTTTGAAATTTTAAAATTCGTTTCTAAAACGTCTTAAAACGTATTATTTTCTTACACTGTTTCTCGTATAAAAATATTTGCTGAATCTAAAGTAAATGGATGTATTCTTTTTAAATTTTAAATTCCGATTTAAAATTTAAGAGCAGTTGTAGATAAAAGTTGTAGATATTGTTTTTGTATAGGGCTACTAAATAAACAACACGAATTTATAAACTTTTTACACGCAAACATTTTAATAGTAAATATTTAAATATTCTAATTATCATACACTAATTAGTGCTGGCAGTACAGTTTTTAAACGTTTTGGCGTTAGTTACAAATCTAGAATTTAGCTAATACGTGATAAAAATCCATATTTTGAACTCAAGAAAAACACGCTCTCGTATCAATTTATTTCTGGTATTGATGATGTGTCAAATTAAAATGGTGTTTGCATGGACGAGAGAGAGAGAAGGGGGGGGGGGATAGAGAGATGAGGAAATGATAAGTGTATTAATGTAATGGATATATCATAACAAGGAACATCACATTACGTGGGGGGGGGTGTAATGATGTAATCGTGATAGGGACAAAATATTAAACACGGGAAACTAAAGATGGGCGCGTGCTTGTAGAAAACTCTAGAACATTCTCAACAACACGGGCATTGTCATTGTTAACCCTCTCATTATTTGTGGGCATATGCAGTAGATCATACACCGGTTAGGCCTTCCTTGCTGAATTAAGCTACAAACTGTATAGGCCTGTACCAGATAAACGTCCGCCTTTCAATAAAACGATGCATTCTTTATGTTTTCAAAAAATACCTTTAACAAATATATAACATCAAAAGTCGCTTTAAAAAGAGAGAACAGTGTGACAATATTGGTGGAAAAGGGATGGGGGTATGCCTATATTGTGCATGAGAGTTGGAATTCAAATTTCGAGAGCGGGGGGGGGGGGGGGTAAAATTTTAGAGAAAATAAAATGGTCTAGACAAACAGAAATTAAGGAAAAAGAATAAAATATTTCTTGTGCAACGTACAGCTGGGCCAGAAGACACATTGATATTTGTATTACTACACACCCAGGGATGTGTCAGGCCCATCTTCCGATATCCAGAGTTCTTGTAATCAAAAATTATTTTTAAAGCTTTACTCATGTCAAGGAAGTCACAGAACTACCAAGTTTATAAATAAAGGTCATTCTGGTTTTCTTTTTTTTATTTTTGGGTGAGGGCGTTGTTGTTTCTTTTTTTTTATCTCCAGAACTTAACTTACACATGTTTTAAACTTCTTTACCGCGTTAAAAATAAGTAAATAGTTTATTGAATTACAATCGATATTTGATTGAAATTGAATAGCTACACGATTGCTTTCAGTTTATATCACAAGCAAAATTTTGCAGCCATAATCTCTCATTAATCTCTCATTAACCCCTAAATGTTTATAATAATTTCGAATTTACATAATTAATATAAGACTCTTGAGAAATTTAACAAAAGTTAACAAAAGTTACACACAATCCAGATTACCCATATAATACATATTAGTGTGAGAATTTGTTCATGGACTCTATTGAAATTATTTCCAACATTCAAGTAACTCCTGGCCCTTCTCATCTTACTGCATAGACTTTATGCTTAGGTTCCAATGTGGAACCATCCAATGGTCTACTAGACTATGGAGCTATGTTTATTTATATTTTTTTTTTAATTGACGTGGCGAGTTCAAATTCTTTTAAGAATGAACAATGGTACCCGGTTCAACACAGAATTTTCTAGTCACGTCATGAAACTAAAGCTGTAGGCAGAGGCGTAGCGAAGGGGTGGGGGTGGCTACATATGTCCCCGGGCGCCGACCCTAGGGGCGCCAAAATGGGTTGAAACAAAAATTTAAAGCTCATTTTAGCTGCAGTTTTGAATAATAAACATAACAAATATATATGGGGGGGGGGGGGGCCAAATTGAAAGTTTGTCCCCGGGCGCCGGGAAGGGTCGCTACGCCTCTGGCTGTAGGCCTATATCTAACTGCACAAGGTTAGCCCTCCTAAATTCTGGTCCATCTAATTGTCGCAGGACGCTGGTATATCTAACTGCACAAAGTTAGCCCTCCTAAAGGTTAGCCCTCCTAAAGGTTAGCCCTCCTAAAGGTTAGCCCTCCTAAAGGTTAGCCCTCCTAAAGGTTAGCCCTCCTAAAGGTTAGCCCTCCTAAAGGTTAGCCCTCCTAAAGGTTAGCCCTCCTAAAGGTTAGCCCTCCTAAAGGTTAGCCCTCCTAAAGGTTAGCCCTCCTAAAGGTTAGCCCTCCTAAAGGTTAGCCCTCCTAAAGGTTAGCCCTCCTAAAGGTTAGCCCTCCTAAAGGTTAGCCCTCCTAAAGGTTAGCCCTCCTAAAGGTTAGCCCTCCTAAAGGTTAGCCCTCCTAAAGGTTAGCCCTCCTAAAGGTTAGCCCTCCTAAAGGTTAGCCCTCCTAAAGGTTAGCCCTCCTAAAGGTTAGCCCTCCTAAAGGTTAGCCCTCCTAAAGGTTAGCCCTCCTAAAGGTTAGCCCTCCTAAAGGTTAGCCCTCCTAAAGGTTAGCCCTCCTAAAGGTTAGCCCTCCTAAAGGTTAGCCCTCCTAAAGGTTAGCCCTCCTAAAGGTTAGCCCTCCTAAAGGTTAGCCCTCCTAAAGGTTAGCCCTCCTAAAGGTTAGCCCTCCTAAAGGTTAGCCCTCCTAAAGGTTAGCCCTCCTAAAGGTTAGCCCTCCTAAAGGTTAGCCCTCCTAAAGGTTAGCCCTCCTAAAGGTTAGCCCTCCTAAAGGTTAGCCCTCCTAAAGGTTAGCCCTCCTATATTCTGGTCCATCTTATTGTCGCAGGACGCTGGTCACCATGTCCAGCTTGACCATCCTGGCTGTGCTCGCCATGTTGGTGACGTCAACGACGGCGGCGGCGGCACCACACGTTGAGATCACAGCGAAACAGCCGCAGGGAATTCAGTTTTCTATCCAAGGTAACGATTGGTTGAAAGTTTTATATACAAGGTAACGATTGGCTGTATGTTTTCTGTACAAGATAGCCATTGGTTCAAAGTTTACTAGGCCCTAATTATTGCCTGAAATAGTTTTTCTTTTTCCTTGTTAAAAACTTTAGGGGCCGATTTTAGTGTTTAAAAAAATTTTACGTCCACTTTTCCTCAACAATAGTTCTCACCGATAAAGCTAAAAACTCTCCCAAACAAATCTCTTTGCATCGATAATCGATACAGTGGTGAAATGGTAGAACTCGCCATTTTCACCCAAAAGTCTCGAGGTCGGTTTCCGGGCGTCAGACGGTAGGATGTTCCTGAGCCCACACAGCTAAAAAGAGTACCTGATTCTAGCTGGGTATTGTGAAATACCTAGGCAATAATCCTGACCACAATAACTTCATGTCTGAAAAAGTTGCCTACTATGTTAACGCTAATATCTCATCATTTCGATGTCTAGCCCTTGTATCAGCTGGTAAAATATTAAAGTTTGATTTCTGAATTTAAAAAGTTAACTTTTTACAAAACCCTCATCACCCATTAAAATGTCAACAATGTGACTAAAACGTAGATTTTTAAAAATCTTGATATTGAACCAAAAGATAGATGGTAGACTATTATCTTGATGTTTGACTATACATTATTTGAACTAAATTTGAGATGTTTCAATATTTGAAATAAGACTAAATTTTTATGTGACAAAAAATATAACTAAAATTTTGATATGTGATGAAAAATGTATTATTTGACTAAAATATTTGTTATTTGACTAAAATGTGATATTTGACTTACAATTTTGACTAAAATATTATAATTTAACTAAAAATGTTATATTTTACTAAAATTGAGATGTTTTACTAAAATGTGATACTTGACTAAAAATTTGACTAAAATGTGATATTTGACTAAAAATGTGATGACTAAAAATATGATACTTGACTAAAATGTGATATCTGACTAAAATGTGATATCTGACTAAAATGTGATATTTGACTAAAAATGTGATGACTAAAAATGTGATATTTCACTAAAAATGTGATATTTGACTAAAAATGTGATATTTAACTAAAATGTGATATCTGACTAAATGTGATATTTGACTAAAAATGTGATGACTAAAAATGTGATATTTCACTAAAAATGTGATATTTGACTAAAAATGTGACGTTAGACTAAAAATGTGATATTTGACAAAATATGTGATATTTGACTAAAAATGTGATAATTGACTAAAATGTGATATTTGACTAAAATGTGATATTTGACTAAAAATGTGATATTTGACTAAAAATTGGATATTTGAGTAAAAATGTGATAATTAAAAATGTGATATTTGATTAAAAATGTGATATTTGACTAAAATGTGATATTTGAAAAAAAAATGTGATATCTGACTAAATGTGAAATTTGACTCCACACACCGTGACTGTTGTAGACCAGGGCTACTCGCTGGTTGGACTCCACTTCAGCGTTAACAAGGTCCTGACAGGTGTGGCTGCAGGTGATTTTAACGTGGACCTCAGGACCAAGACAGGTAAATAACTCAATGTTTACGTGTGTTTGTGTGCCCGTGCGTGTGTGTGTGTGTTTGTGTGCCTGTGTGTGTGCGTGCGTGTGTGTGTGTGAGTGAGTGTGTATGTGTGTGCGTGTGTGCGTGTGTGTATGTATGTGTGTGTATGTGTGTGTGTCCGTGCGTGTGTGTGTGTGTTTGTGTGCCCGTGTGTGTGTGTGCGTGCGTGTGTGTATGTGTGTGTATGTGTGTGTGTATGTATGCCAGGGGAGGGGGGAGGGTAAAGTGGACACGGACTGAAGCTAAAATAGAGATTAAAACCTTGTGTGCTAGTCCTATGCAGTAAGTTTTTAAAAAAATCGACTTTTATAAATACAACGGTATCGAGAAAGCGCTAGTCCTTTATACAAGGATCTACTAGTCCATACAACGATGACATAAATATGATGGGTGGGGTAGGGGGGTGTATGCCAGCTACGAACATTCTAGAACAGTGGTTGTTAAACTGGGTTCGATCAAACCCCAGGGGTTCGGTGAGTCAGTCTCATGGGTTCGGTGGCGGTCAAGAAACATGATTCACAATCAGATTTAGTCAGTACGAACGATAAAGCTATTCGGGTTCGGTGATTGCTCATATGAAACTGGTGGGGTTCGGTACCTCCAAAAACGTTGAGAACCACTGATCTAGAATATGTGAATTGTGTGGTGGGAATGGATATCGGTTTTTGTTTTCTTAGTCAAGAGCTTGGCAATCACTGACAGTATATATTCAATAATGTTCAATATTGACTTCAATACTCTTTAGATCTCGTTGACAAATCAAGTCTACATTTTAACCTTAACTCCCTCCCACCCCACTCATCGTTTCTAACGTCGCATTCAGCTTTAACTCCCCTACGTTTAAAAATTGACTGTCTAAAGTATTAATTGGGTTGTTTCCCTTTAATAACAGAATTACAGAATACACCCAATACTACATGCTAATGAAGTAGTTTTTTCCTATAATAAATGTAGCCAATAATGATAAGGATTGGCTAAATAAAGATTTTTGTTACAATTTTTTTTTTAAAGTGTAAAAGATTAAATCACTTTTTAAAATTGTTTAAAACGCAAAAAATGGGAGGTAACACTTACTTTAATTTCTCCCCTTCCCCCCCCCCCCCCCTCACCTCCAACAAATCGACACAAAAGCGCCCCCCCCCCCCCCCCACTCTCCCTCTCGTTGGAAAAAAGATTTTGTAGCTTTAAAAATAGATAAAGGAGTCGCTATGTAATTTTTTTTTATTACGTACAAAAAGTGTACAATTGAAGTTATGTACAGCGTTCTGTAAAGACACAGCTCTAATGGTGTGTAGTATGTGTGTACACACATGTCACATATTGTGTCACAGTTGTGTACACGCAGATCTCGTGATGTCAGACGTGTTTCTCGTGGTGTGTCACTTGTTTACACACAGATTGCATGGTATCAATTGTGTAAACATATACCATGGTGTGTCGATTGTGTACTTGTGTACACACATTTCACATGGCGTGTCACTTGTGTACACATATAATGTGTTGCAATTGTGTACTCACAAATTTAATGATGTACACATATATATCATGTACTTGTACACAGCTAACCCCCACCTCTTGCTCCCCTAGGCAACAACTTTGTACACGAAGAGCCAAGCATCGCCCTGAAACCTGGAGACAAGGTCAACTACTGGATCCTGACCATCTCTAGCACCACAGGGGAGGGAAACCAGTTGCTGGACCAGTCCTTTACTTACAGCGGTGGGTTGTCGCCCCTGATCTAGCTTTTTTTTTTACTTCACAATAACATTTCTAGCAGTATAGCACAGATTATACAATATAAAAACTTGGGACATTTTTATTAATTTCTGCTGCATTTACACATTTCCATAGGCAGAAAACCTTCCTTTTATGGAAGATTTTAAAGACCCCCCCACACACACACACACACATATATATATATATATATATATATATATATATATATATATATATATATTTATTTATTTATTTATACATGCGCGCACGGACACACAACTCACATGCATACAGCACTAACTAGTCTTTCAAAAAATTTGGTTGTTTAGAAATATAAAGTATAAAAATCGTCATTTTTGAGAAAATCTGTCGCTACAACTTCATTAGATACTATTGTTAAGATCTCTGTTCATGAATATCGGTGGAAAAAAACTTTGTGTCAATTTATTCATTCAACTATCCTATATTGCCTATATTTTACACACACACACACACACACTATCCACGCACCACCCACGCATACATACACAAATATTAAAGAAAATCATAAGAGGTGTTATAAAACTACCTCATTCAACACAATAAAGCGCAACGTGAAGCTACCCCCACCCCGACCGTATGCTGGATCTCTAAACCTGTATCTCTAAGACAAATTACCGCCACTAAAATCTTGAACATGTGTAGGACCACCAACGACCACAACACCCAAGCCCACCACCACCACCAAGGCGACCACCAAACAGCCAGCGACAACCCTGGCGAGCATCATCAACCCCAACCCACAACCCGGCTCCAACCAGAGTTCTGGGGAGTCAGGGGAGACAACCACAGCTAGCGGCTCACCTGTTGCACCTGGTATGTTTCTAGCGTCCATATTTAGACTCTAAAAGATATTAATTAATTGTAAATAATCTAACAAAAATGTTTCCCCTATAAGCATAAGATATTTTCTAGTATTTGATTTTATAAAGAGCAATATTTATTTTTTTTTTTTTTAAATTTCACAAATTTCAGCTTGTTGTTTGACTCGATTATTTCCCTTTAGTTAGTTTTAACCATCTTGTTCAAAAAGGGGGAAAAATATCGTCAATAAATATCTGATCAATTTTTCTTGTTAAATTTTTTTAAAAGGTTGACTTTATTCAAATCCTATTTACCTTGTCACTTTTGTCCAAAAAAAATTTAAGTTTTTACAATCCAAGATAATTCTGTTTGTCTTAGAAATAATTAAGTTTTTACAGTCCCAGATAATTATTTTTGTTCTAAAAAATAATTTCGTTTTTACAATTCAAGATAATTCTGTTTGTACTAAAAATTAATTTAGTTTTATACAATCTAACCAAGATAATTCTGTATGTCCTAAAAACAAGTTCGTTTTTACAATACAAGAAAAATCTTTTTGTCCTAAAAAAAATTAGTGTTTACAATCCAAATTAATTCTGTTTGTCCTAAAAAAATATTGAGTTTTTTTTTCTTATACTTATATTTTAGACACGGGATCTAACACTGGAGGATCATCAACTGGCGGAACAGGGGGAACAGGGGGAACAACTGTGGTAGTTTCAGCTGGTAAGAGTTGCTTGTATCCATAAACAAGTGACGTCATGATTTTTTTCCTCAAGTTTTTTTTTTTGCTGAAATTTTTTAGTGGGGAGTTACATCGAATTTAGCGTTACCCATTTTAAAATACATTTTCGGAAAACATGCTTTTTAAAACCCATTACAGGCAATGATGATTATTTAATGGGATGAAGGTCGCGAGTTCATCCGTGCTTAAGTCTCTGAGTTCATTCAGCAATAACGGGTACCTGGCATGAGTAGAGAAAAAAAAACGGCAATGGAGAACACACTTAGCACATGAAACATTAAATTCAATCCTACAGAAAACGCATTAACTTTTTTTAAACCAGTATTTTGACATTCTGGTCCGAAATGTTATTTTACTTAAAATAAAAATAGTCCGTCGCTATAGGCGTATGAATTTCTCCACTGTTGGCCTGTTTACTTCCAGATCCCTACAACAAGGAGGCGACATGCACAAGTTACCCGTGTCTCATATTTGAGGACGAGTTCGATACCCTGGACACCAAGCTGTGGGAGCATGAGATTACAGCAGGGGGTGGCGGGGTAAGTAGTAGGGGTGGTGGGGTTGGTAGTAGGGGATGGGGTGTATAGCAGGGGTGGGGTGGGGTAAGTAGTAGGGGGTGGGGTCTATGGCGGGAGGGTTTAGGCAGGGGTGGGGGTGGGGGAGTGGCAGAGGAGGTGGTAGCTCAAACTACCCGTGTCTGATTTTTGAGGATGAGTTCGATACCCTGGGCACTAAGCTGTGGGAGCATAAGATTACAGCAGGGGGTGGCGGGGTGAGTAGAAGGGGCGGGGTTGTAGTAAGGAGCGTGGTGTATAGCAGGGGTGGAGGGTGAATGGTAGGTGGTGAAGATAGCATTAGCTACCCATGTAGTGGAGGGGGTGGAGGGGTGAGTCGTAGGGGATGGTGTGGTGGATAGCAGTGGGGTGGGGTGTATAGCAGGGGTGGGGATGGGTGGGTGAATAGCATCAGCTACCCATGTAGTGGAGGGGTGAGTCGTAAGGGGTGGTAATATCCTGCTCACTAATTTAACCAAGATGTTAACAAGAGGGGAGGTAACTAGAGATAATCATAAGGGGAGTAACTCTTAATGTTCCACTGCCAGTTCTCCTCCCATGAACTAATTAATTTACTTAGTTATCTGACGACCTTCCTAGCCTACACTACACGTCTTAGGCTAGGCGTCTGATGAAATGTGACATTAACTTGATCTGTTATTTTGTAGATTTATCTATGTGCTCTTCTTATAACATATTTTCACTTTTTTAAGTGTGGCGAACGCAGGAATATGCTACGGGGAAGGTTTAAGTTATGTTGATATACATATAATATACATATATATATATATATATATATATATATATATATATATATATATATATATATATATATATATATATATATATATATATATATATATAATATATATATATATACATATACATATATATATACATATATATATATATATATATATATATATATATATATATATATATATATATATATATATATATATATATATATATATATATATATATTTAAAACTTACTTTTTATTACTTCTACCATTCGACCACACGGTCACATATGTTTAAAGTAAGATAACAATATTGATTGTATTTTTCACCCCTCCCCCCCCCCCCCCCCACAGAACTGGGAGTTCCAGTACTACACCAACAACAGGTCTAATGCTTACGTCAGGGATGGCAAGCTCTTTATCAAGCCGGTAGGTGTGGTTGTGTGTGGTTAGGTGTGGTTAGATGTGGTTGTGTGTGGTTAGGTGTGGTTGTGTGTGGTTAGGTGTGGTTAGATGTGGTTGTGTGTGGTTAGGTGTGGTTGTGTGTGGTTAGGTGTGTTAGGTGTGGTTGTGTGTGGTTGTATGTGGTTAGGTGTGGTTAGGTGTGGTTGTGTGTGGTTAGACGTGGTTGTGTGTGGTTAGGTGTGGTTGTGTGTGGTTAGATGTGGTTAGGTATGGTAAGGTGTGGTTGTGTGTGGTTAGGTGTGGTTGTGTGTGGTTAGGTGTGGTTAGGTGTGGCTGTGTGTGGTTGTGTGTGGTTATGTGTGGTTAGATATGGTTGTGTGTGGTTGTGTGTGGTTGTGTGTGGCTAGGTGTGGTTGTGTGTGGTTAGATGTGGTTGTGTGTGGTTAGGTGTGGTTAGATGTGGTTGTGTGCGGTTAGGTGTGGCTGTGTGTGGTTGTGTGTGTGGTTGTGTGTGTGGTTATGTGTTGTTGTGTGTAGTTAGGTGTGGCTGTGTGTGGTTATGTTAGCCTGTGTGTGGTTTCGTGTGGTTAAATGTGATTTTATGTGTAAAGTGTGAATTATTTTGGATTTGTGTGTCCGACTTTAACCACCACGTGACTGAAACGAACCACTTTATCCACCAACATGACTAAAACGAACCACTTTATCCACCAACATGACTAAAACGAACCACTTTGACCACCAGCATGACTAAAACGAACCACTTTTCCCCCAGAATTTAACCACCAACATGACTAAAACGAACCACTTTAACCACCAACATGACTCAAACGAACCACTTTGACCACCAACATGACTAAAACGAACCACTTTAACCACCAACATGACTCAAACGAACCACTTTGACCACCAACATGACTAAAACGAACCACTTTAACCACCAACATGACTAAAACGAACCACTTTGACCACCAACATGACTAAAACGAACCACTTTAACCACCAACATGACTAAAACGAACCACTTTGACCACCAGCATGACTAAAACGAACCACTTTGACCACCAGCATGACTAAAACGAACCACTTTAACCCAGACTTTGACCACCAACATGACTAAAACGAACCACTTTAACCACCAACATGACTAAAACGAACCACTTTAACCCAGACTTTGACCACCAACATGACTAAAACGAACCACTTTAACCACCAACATGACTAAAACGAACCACTGTAACCACCAACATGACTAAAACGAACCACTTTAACCACCAACATGACTAAAACTAACCACTTTAACCACCAACATGACTAAAACGAACCACTTTAACCACCAACATGACTAAAACGAACCACTTTAACCACCAACATGACTAAAACGAACCACTTTTATCCCCAGACTTTAACCACCGACCGGTTCGGTCCGGAGTTCCTGGAACACGGGAACCTCAACATCTGGGGTAAGTACTGCTCTGTACCAGAGGTTCTCGTAATGCCAGATATGGCACCAAATGTTCCAGAGATTTTCTGTGTCTTTAGCGGCAGAACGGAGGAGATTCGTGTAAGAGTACTCCATCATACAGTTGGCGGGGAGGGGGGGGGGGGGCGTGTCCGAGTTGGGGTGCCAAACGAGTGCTACTGTTTTTATATTTTCCTTTATATTTAATGCCTACAAAAAAGGTTAAGAATCTAGTTCCAATGCCTCTTGTTACCAGTTTACACTCTGGTTCTCAGTACGTAAAAGTAAACATCCAATTTTGTTTTTAAAGTATGGGAACGCGTGGTTGGATCGTAGGGCACATAGCTGTTAAAAGCCTCGAGTTCGGGTCCTACAACTCGAGTCCGTGGAATGTCTTGGAGTCCACTCAGCTCTGATGGATACCTAACTCACGTTAGTGAAATAAAAGGCTGCTGGGTTAGTACTGACCACGCTATCACTTGATATGCCAATGTCACATAAACAGATGAACTCTACTTCATCTGCATCACGAACCGCCAGGTTTACAAGGATGATGTGTTTTTATTTAAATTGTTGGATTAATTATATAATGTAGGTATGATGGAGCGGAGAGATTTGTTTTAGCATTACTTCTAATTTAAATTCTTTCAAAAAAAAAGATAAACTTCGAGGTTCCTTAACAATAATTGTATTTGTTTGAATATTGTGATAAAAAGAGGTTCTCAAGTTATTTAAATAACAAAATCCGTAGGGTCTGAGCTATTGGTATGATTGTTAACTGTTTTTTTTGTCCATTGTCATTGGTTAGTTTTTAATGTCTGCTGTCACTTGTCACTGTCAACTGCCACTTGTGTCACCTGTTGACAGGTGCCAACCCGACTGACACGTGCACCGGAAACAACTTTTACGGCTGTGAGCGCCAGGGGATCCCGGGTCAGGTGATCAACCCCCTCCAATCAGCACGCTTGAGGAGCTCCCGGTACTTCAACTTCAAGTATGGCCGTCTGGAGGTCGAGGCCAAGATGCCGACAGGAGACTGGCTTTGGCCAGGTGAGTCAGATATGGCCATCTAAAGGTGAAGGTCAAGGTGGCCAGGTGTCAGATATGGCCGTCTAAAGGTGAAGGTCAAGGTGGCCAGGTGAGTCAGATTTGGCCATCTAAAGGTGAAGGTCAAGGTGGCCAGGTGTCAGATATGGCCATCTAAAGGTGAAGGTCAAGGTGGCCAGGTGAGTCAGATTTGGCCATCTAAAGGTGAAGGTCAAGGTGGCCAGGTGTCAGATATGGCCATCTAAAGGTGAAGGTCAAGGTGGCCAGGTGTCAGATATGGCCATCTAAATGAAAGCAAAGATGGCCAATTAAGTTAGATATGGCTTTCTAGAGAGAGAGAGAGAGAGAAACCCTTTGCCAACAAGAGACAGATGGGCCGTCTTTGGGAAGAAAATGTTTCATTTTTCTAAAAGTGTAAAGAATTGTGTAAAACTTTTTCTTGACGCTTTCATCTAAATTAAATATCATGTTAATTTTTTTCTTAAAGTAACTATCAGATCACAATGTTTAAAATATGGTCAGTCGATAGAGCCGGCAATCCCTAAGCCAAAGCTCGCGAGTTCGGTTCCTAGGCTAGAGCTAAAGCCTGGTGGAAACTAGCGGGTTGTTACAGCCGACAAATGAGTGGTGGAATGGTGCCTGTTAACGTCTGCCTGCTCTAAGAGCACAAATGAAAATGGTCATACTCGTGTTGGAAACACATTAAGAAATACGCAATCATTTTAAAATGCGAAGGCGGAGTTGAGTGGTCAAGACACTGATACAGACCTGAAAGTCTCGAGTTCGGATCCCAGACTTAAGTCCGTAGGACGTCATTGAGTCAATTCAGCTCTAATGGGTACCTGACTAGGAAAGTAAAAGCGGTTGGAAAGAAATGACCCTACTATCCCCTCTCATGCCTTAAGTCACATAAAAAAATGTGTTCCCTACTTCAACTGCGTAATAAACACTCAGGTCAAAAAGGATAACTTTATAAACATTTAAAACCTTGATACTGTTGCGCTCTTTTATTGTTGTCTATATTTTAATTTGTTGATGTTGGCATGCAACAACAGTACTGCGACACTTCAAAACAAGTTGAAATGAAATGTGTAAACGACGGGTTTTTTTTCTCGAAAAACAGCTATAAATAGACAAAAACTCGTGGTGGAAACTAGTAGAACCTTTGGCATGTGACCCGGATATTCCATCCAGTCCAAGCACTCTAAAGCCGGAAGTCCGCTCGTTTTGTTTCGTGCCGGGTCTCGATCATGATTTTTGTTTATATTTTCCCAACGAGAACCACACACACACACACACACACATACATACACACACACACACACACCACATCTCACAGAAGAAACATACTTCCTGGTCGGGATCTAAACTTCACGATTTCAAAGATAACCAACACAGGAATAAACTTCATACTCGACATAGCGGAGTTGGGTTCTCCAACCCGCGGGCCTCATCCGGCCCTCGAACATCTTGGTTGTAGATGGTCGGAACTAGATCATTATGGTGTATGGGCCTTTTGTCGTACATGTCCTATACATAGAAGTTACAGATCTAGATCTATATCGGCCTTCTCGTAAAAATGATATAATCTACACATTAATGATATGAGACAGTACATCGTCTAAGTAAATTACAAAAATCCGTGACTATTCCATTAAATCAAAAGATTGTCTATATTTCACGCAACTAAAGTAAAAAAAAATCCACGTTTAGATTGGGACATGTTTAATTCATTTCTTATAAGTCGATACGATAATATTAACAACATGCTTGAGTCTGGCGGTAATTTCTGAGTTTACCCAGCTCTAATAGGTACCTGACTCTCGTTAGGAAAAGTAAAAGCGACTAAGCAAATTGCTGACCACACTATCCTAAGGTGAGGTCACTGAAATATATATATACGTGTGTGTATAAATATATAATTTTATACATATATATATACATATATATATGAATAAATATATATATATATATATATATGTGTATATATATATATATATATATATATATATATATATATATATATATATATATATATATATATAGTTGTATGTGTAAACTCTTATGTGTCTAACGCCAGCTATATGGCTGCTGCCGAGATGGAACGCCTACGGAATTTGGCCAGCTTCAGGAGAAATTGATCTGGTAGAGAGCCGAGGTAAATTTTTTTCTTTATTCCCTTAATTTTGTTTAGAAGAGCTGGAACTGGGATTTTGTTTTACACGTCAGCTAATGGGCGACTGTAGTTTTTTTTTTTAATCTAACCAGCATCCGATGTTGGACTCGTCCAATAAATGAAGGGGGGTGGGAGGTAGATCTTCTAATGGGTGTAGTGAGATTTTTTTATCTAGCCAGTATCCGATGTTGGACTTTTCCAATGAATAAATGGAGGGGGGGGGGTAGGTCTGCTAATGTTTGTGTTTTTACCTAGATTCTAGCCAGCATACGATGTTGGACTCGTCCAAAAATGAGGAGGGGGGGGGGGGTTGTGTTCTGGTGGGCTACGATTAGGGTTAGGTTTGACAATGGTTAACAGTTGGTAGTTAACCTCTAATATATCAGCAAAAAGCTAGCTATTGCAAGAGTTAATGGTCGGAACTCATCACACGCCTCCCACATTCCCCCACCCCCACCCCACCCCCTTTTCGGATCTGACCTTACGAATAGACGTGTTAGGTCACCGTGACCTTTACGTAAAACAATTGGTAAAAAAAAACTATCCGGATGGATTTTGTTTGATCTTTCCTTCCTTATGTTAAAAAGAGCAAAAAAAAAACGAACGAAACAATCTAAACAATTTCAGAACTCTGGATTGGTCAGATTTTTGAAAGGAATTGTTTATCAAAAACATGGAGCCTGTCTGAGAAATGTTTACGTTGTGGGGCGTGTTCAACAATTTGCCCACTGGAAGTTCTCAATTCTGGTCAATGCCACCAGACCCATACCACGTGACCCGTTAAAGCACCGAGAATAGCAGACGACGATGGGTGATTGGGTACTTTTGCATGTGGCGCGTGGTACAAAATGGCTGACGGAAATACTCGTTCAGTAAATGAGCTTCTTTTAGATCAGATAATGATCTTATCACAATCTATACGTTTAGTTTGATGTCCCCAGTTTTTTACACAATAATCGTGGTTGCATAATCTGGGCAAAGGTTTATAGTTAGGCTTGGGTTCAAAGATCGGCTACAGCAAAAGAGACAAGAGCCAAATATATTTTCATAAATAAAGATTTTGACGGTCATAGTTACAGCAGACAATAGGTTTCTGAAAAGATGGGTTTTGTCTGTCTTATAACAAGTCTGTTTAATAACAGGTAGACTATGTCTAACCACAAGTTTATCTAATCAATGTTTTTTTTCAGACATTTTTCTCAGGGGTGGGGTTGGCTTACATTTCTGGGGAGATTTATATAAATTCCATTTCGCGCTGAGGGCGGTAGACATGCATTGGTGTCTCACCCACCCCACCCCCTAAGATATGCCTGAGGAAACTGTGTCTAATGACAAGTCATTCTTATGTAAAGGGTTATTTATGACGTGCCAGTGTCCACTAAACACCTTGACCACTGTCCACTTGCAGGTAACCTGAACTACAAGGACGACAAGGGTCAGCCTGCAGGTCTGGAATCTGTTGGCAGCACGTTACACTTTGGTCCGTTCGTCGAGGCCAATCAGTGGCCCAAGGCACACGCCTCTACGTGAGTGGTCAGCTTTGTGGGGTTAGCTGTAGGTCTTTGTGTGGTCAGCTGTAGGTCTTTGTGTGGTCAGATGTAGGTCTTTGTGTGGTCAGCTGTAGGTCTTTGTGGGGTCAACTGTAGGTCTTTGTGTGATCAGATGTAGGTAATCAGCTGTAGGTCTTTGTGTGTGGGTGGTCAGCTGTAGGTCTTTGTGTGGTCAGATGTAGGTCTTTGTGTGGTCAGATGTAGGTCTTTGTGTGGTCAGCTGTAGGTCTTTGTGTGGTCAGATGTAGGTCTTTGTGTGGTCAGATGTAGGTCTTTGTGTGGTCAGCTATAGGTCTTTGTGTGATCAAATGTAGGTCTTTGTGGGGTCAGCTGTAGGTCTTTGTGTGGTCAGATGTAGGTCTTTGTATGGTCAGCTGAAGGTCTTTGTGTGGTCAAATGTAGGTCAATAGGTCTTTAGCTGTGGTCTACAACTGTGAAAAGCGTCGCCTTTAATTATAGATTATACTCAGTGTTTCTTCCAGACTTTTTTCTCCGAGGGGGGGGGGGGCTCAGCCCCTCCCCCCCCCCCCCTCGAAGAGGTGCCTGGAAGAAACTCTGATTATAGTAGCTATGTTTTCCTATATGTGTTTAGCCCCCTGTACTTTTAAAAAGACATTTGAAATTAAAACAAAGAGCTTGCTATAATTAGTTATAGTTTTTGTTTATACTTCAACTTCTCTATAATTCAACTAATCTTAAAATTTTTCTTTTAAAATCTAATACGTGTCATCAATTTGATCAAGCTCATTTAAAGTATACGCCACATTCTTCTAACCTTGACCTTGATGTCAAGAACCACAACTCCTACCCAGCTCTGTCTTTGTATTTACAATCCAACACTTAAAGTACCTCGTCAAAGGGAGCTCACTATCGTTTTTCTTTTGATTCCAGAGTTGCGTCGTCTGGCACCTTCGCTGACAGCTTCCATAAGTACCAGCTGGACTGGGACGACCAATCAATCAGGTACATACAATATGTGTTCGATCTCAGTGGAGATCGATGGGAAACGTTCGTTATCGAGGGTACTTTTATCAATGAAAAGCGTGTGTTCGGTTGTTGTTTTTTTTTTTTTTTAATACGGCGGATGTTTTTTTTTTAATGCGGAGGAGGGGAAGAACTGTGGGTACTAATATGTCACGTGTTTCAAGAGAGGTGACTATGACGATATAATTCTTTGAAGATAGTTGACATGAGTGGAATGGATGTATAGATAGGAATGTGGGGTGGGTGTGGCTAGTGGTGTGGGCAGGTGGAGGTTATGGTGGGGGTCAACCTCCCCCCCCCCCCCCCACTCCCCATCCCATTGCAACCCCTAAAATGAAAATTGTCTCATGTTAAGTTACATTAGCAAAGGTGTACCACTTTGAACCCCCACATCTTTATATCTAACTACTGCCAAACATTACGGGTGTGGTCGTGTATTGACATTCAGGTGTCATTCAGGTTTCCTTCAGGTGTCATGCATGTGTCATGCAGGTGTCATTCAGGTGTCATATATGTGTCATGCAGGTGTCATTCAGGTGTCATACATGTGTCATGCAGGTGTCATACATGTGTCATTCAGGTGTCATTCAGGTGTCATACATGTGTCATGCAGCTGACAATGTCACCCTGATGACATAGCTTGTGTACTAAAGTTTGTCCTGACCCCCCCCCCCCAGGTTCACCGTGGACGGGACGGAGATCCTCAACGTCAGCCCTCCGGCTGGTGGCTTCTGGGAGTTTGGAGACTTCGAGAACACCGGTCAGAGCAAGTGGGACAACCCGTGGGCTGCCGGTGGTCACATGGCTCCCTTTGACCAGGAGGTGAGTGCTCACATGTTAGCCTCTCCGATTGTCTTAATGAGTGGCTAATTGGGTGTGTCATCATCATCGTCTTTTTCTCTACGACCTCTGCGATATATAGGGCCCTATATATATATATATATATATATATATATATATATATATATATATATATATATATATATATATATATATATATATATATATATATATATATATATATTTATATATATATATAAACTAATTACCAACTCTAATCAAGCTACACCGTAATATTGTGATAAAGAGCACACAAACAAAATATGCTAGGAAGATTACAAAATTGTTCCGTCTATAAATAACAAGCAAGTTTTTAAACTATCTAAACTATCAGCACAATTTTCGAATCTGGGAGAGCTGACACCCACAACGATATACACTTCTGCTGATTTCCCGCCAACATTCATTAAATCTGTACTGATGCAATTAATATCGCGAATATTTGTTGTACTCAAATCAAGAGATATTTCTAAAACTGATTTTGTTTGCATTTATTGGAAGTGTTAAGTGTTTTTGTCTCGGCTATTTTTATCTTGTGGGACAACCCCACGTTTGGTAAACAATGATATTAATATTGACCAATCGCCGCCTGTATTTCATACATATCTAGCCAATCCCGGCGAAGTATATGAAAATATTTTTAGAACATTTTCAGGTGATTTATTTTCCACATACAAATTCCCACACTCACACAAAATCTCATTTACACAAGATCTCTCTCACACAAAATCTTTCTCACACAAAATCTTTCTCAAACAAAATTTCTCACACACAAAATATCACACACAAAATCTCTCTCACACAAAATCTCATTCACACAAAATCTTTCTCCCACTAAATCACTCTCAAACAAGAATTCTCTCACACAAAATGTCTCTCACACATTTCTCTCGCACAAAATTTCTCCCACACCAACTCAAATCCACCCACCTATTCCTCCATTACTACAACAACATTAATGTGAACCCAACCCCCCCCCCCCCCCCCCCACACACACACACACACACTTACAACTAAACCGGGACACGTCAATCTCATTAACACTGTAATTGACCTAGAAACTTTGATTGTTAGCTTTTAAAGTGATGGCTGTTTGTGGCCGTCCAATCATAATTACTTCAGTCAGAGTGGCCGTCTAATGACTTTAGTGAGTGGTCGTCTAGCGAGTGGCCGTCTAATGACTAGAGTGAGTGATAAAGGTGTAAAGGCCTTCACATAAATCTTCAGCGAGCACTTCATGTGATTGTTTCAATCCTGGTTTCTACCATGAATAAATTAGCAATGGTTGTCACTTGTCATACATTCTATTCAGTTTCCTCTTCAACAAACTCATCCCTCATACCATCCCTCATACTATCCCTAATACCATCCCCTACACCACCCATTACACCATCCCTTACACCATACCTCATACCATCCCCTATACCATCCCTCATACCATCCCCTATACCATCCCTCATACCATCCTTCATACTATCCCTCATACCATCCCCTACACTACCCCTTACACCATCCCTCACACCATCCCTCATACCATCCGTCAACTTCAACCAATATCTACTGACCATCTAAACTCTGATACCAGCCTTCGACATCACAAACATTTTCTTCATCATCTCAACGTTGTTACCATCCTCCGATACCATCTTATAACTACACATCTGTTCCTCATTATCTCATCTACCATCCCACACCATCAATCATCCTCTACCTACCATCTACAGTTCTACATCATTTTCTAAATACACCATAATTTCCTCACCATCTCATCTACAATCCACACAATCTCACTACCATCCCATGCCATTAACCATCCTGTACTCACCATCCACAGTTCTAAATCTTCCTCTATAACATCATCACACTACCATCCCAAACCATATCCATCCCCCACCATCACGATCTACTCACCATCTCTTCTACCATCCACACCATCTCACCTACCATCCCCATACCATCAACCATCCTCTACCTACCATCCACAGTTCTACATCACCCTCTAACTACACCATCATTTCCACACCATCTATCTACCACCCCACACCATCCCCACCATCAACCATCCTCTACCATCCCACACCTTTACCCACCATCAACCATCCTCTACCTATCATCCACAGTTCTAAATCATCTTCTAACCACACCATCTCACTCCCATCCCACACCATCCCTCACCATCAACCATCCTCTACCTACCATCCACAGTTCTACATCATCATCTAATGATACCATCTCACCACCATCCCACACCTTTACCCACCATCAACCATTCTCTACCATCCACAGTTCTACATCATCCTCTAACCACGCCATCTCACTACCATCTCACCACCATCCCCCACCATCAACCATCCTCTACCTACCATCCACAGTTCTACATCCTCCTCTAATCATACCATCTCACCACCATCCCCCACCATCAACCATCCTCTACCTACCATCCCCAGTTCTACATCCTCCTCTAATCATACCATCCCCCACCATCCCCCCACCATCAACCATCCTCTACCTACCATCCCCAGTTCTACATCCTCCTCTAATCATACCATCCCATACCATCCCACACCATCCCTCACCATCAACTATCCTCTACCTACTATCCACAGTTCTACATCCTCCTCTAATCATACCATCTCACCACCATCCCCCACCATCAACCATCCTCTACCTACCATCCCCAGTTCTACATCCTCCTCTAATCATACCATCCCACACCATCCCTCACCATCAACCATCCTCTACCTACAATCCACAGTTCTACATCCTCCTCTAACCATACCATCCCACACCATCCCCCACCATCAACCATCCTCTACCTACCATCCACAGTTCTACATCATCATGAACGTGGCTGTGGGTGGCGTCGGGTTTTTCCCCGACAACTACGTCAACGCCCCCTACCCCAAGCCTTGGAACGACCACGCCGGACACGCCGCCACCGCTTTTTGGAACGCCAGGTCAGTGAAAACTTAAAGGTCAAGGTCATTTTTTATTTAGGTTGACCCGCGGTAGGTGGAGGGTCATGGTGCGTCATAACACAGTTTAGAAAACGGTACGTTGTTGTGGGAGATATATAGAAGCTATATATACTAAACATTGGGGGTTAGAGAAATGATGGTTTTTAAAAACTGGCACCGCCTTTCCCCACCCCACCCCCCACTGGAAAGAAATAAATTTATTTAAAAAATATATACCAGTGTGTGCCCCCTCCCCCAGAAATTTAAGTCCGTCCTTCCCCCCCTCCAAGAAAGTTTACCGCCCCCACCACCCCCTCCCTGAACGAAATGGAGTTTATATAGAAAAGATATACTTTTACCAGTGTCCGCCCCCCCCCCCCCCCCCGCCCCGGAGATAAAAGTCTGGAAGAAACACTGCAAGTATTCCCCCCCCCCCCGTAGAAAAGAAAGGATGAAAGAAACACTGGACCTACACTACACAACACCAAGAATCCCATGCATCCAACCAGAAGAACAATTCACATCGGGCGACCTTGGGTGATGACGTCACAGGAAGTCACTTGCTGTTAACCCTTGTTAGACTAGTCGCCTCCTCATGTTGTCAGCATACGGGAAATTCTGGCCGCCACCTTAACCCTGGCAATATGACTCACATTATTTAGGCGTCTAAATGGGTTTTTTTTTGGCTGGGGGTCTGGGAAACAATGGTTTTTGCTAGGAAGTTGGGGGGGGGGGCAATGGTGGTCTATAAAAATAGATTGATGGAATGAGGACATTGTGTATAAAACCCTGATTACGTCATGCATAACCACGCCTTTTCTTACAAATGTGCTGGTCACGTGAACGACAGCGGTGACGTCATTAGTTTCAGCGGCTCTTAAGCCAAAGCTCATTTTTAGTACCTAGATTGGCAGAGATTGTAGTTTATTTGACAAAGTCTTGTTCTAGACTAAGATCGAATCAATAATATAACAAAATCGACAGAAATCCATCAAAGAAAAGGAAATCATGAAAATATTGTGAAACAATTCTTTGGAGAGAAATGTTCCTTTTTTAACAGAAGATCTCTGGGGTTTTTTGTATTTTTTTTTGTAAACAATTGAAAACTTAGTCATGCGCAGAGGGCTATTTCCTGTAGAACTTGTGTTAGATAACGGCCTTTGATAATCTCCACGCTCAATAAAGAATCAGCAAACAACGCATGCGCAGAATTAATGACCTTGAAATTCCTCGGCCTGTTGCTTCATCTTTCCACAAGACTGAGAATTGATTAGTCTCTCTTCATCCATTGGCTGCGTGTCTGTCATGTGATCTGGCCTAATGACGTAAAACAGCTTGATGGATTGAACTAGTATTGATTACAGTTTTGATGGAAAATCAAAATGGGGACTAATTATAAAATGTTGAAGTCTAAACTTCAATTTAAAACTTATAATAGGCCTATTATAACTAAAGCATTAGATTTCCACACTGAGTAAAAAAATTTGGTATTTAAGTATAAGAAACGATAGTGGGTGGTTTATCATTCCCTCATTAGAAGGCAATCTGATAAGGTGAGAGAATTCCCTTGACGAGACACTGAACAACTTACCTCAGGACAATTTATATCAGCACAACTTATATCAGGACAACTTATCTCAGGACAATGTGAACTAAACTATTCAAGTGAAATTTCTTAAAACAAGTTCAAGTTACTTGTTCATCGTTGGACTATTCTCCTGATGGTGTCACCACCGTTTTATTTCGTCGCCTCTTCGTGTCGGTGTCACCTTCGTTTGATGGTATCACCACCCTGCTACCGACACGCAACACCCCCTACCCCTATTGTCACCCCCCCCCACCCCCATTTGTGACGCCATTGATTATGTCAACAGTGAGATAACGAGATAACTTAATACATGTAGTCGGGGCGTTAATCTTTTCAGGTGGAGGGGGCGGACACTGGTAAAAGTATGTTTTCTATATACATTTCATTTCGTTTCGGTGAGGGAGGTAAACTTTCTTCGCCCCAACCCCCCCCCCCCCCCTCCACCGAAGAGATGCCTGAAAGAAACTCTGATCAGATAAATTACCATATTTACGCTTAAACAATGGTTCTTAATCTGGGTTCAATCGAAACCCTAGGGGTTCGGTGAGCTAGTCTCAGGGGTTCGGCGTAGGTCAAGACACGCACCCGACTCATACGATTCACGATCTGATTTGGACGATAGAACTATTTAGAAGGGTTCGGTGAGTGCGCATAGGAAACTGGTGGGGTTCAATACATTCCAAAAGTTTAAGAACCACTGGATTAGAACACACCAGGGGCGTAGCGAGGGGGGGGGGGCGGGGGTGCGGACCGCACCGGGTGACACCATTTAGGGGGGTGATACCAAGGCAAAAAATAGCAAAATATAAAATATATAGAGAAAAACTTGAGGGGGGGGGGTGCAAATCGAAAGTTTGAGGGGGGGGGTGCAAATCGAAAACTTGAAAGTTTGTCCCCGGGAAGGGTCACTACGCCTCTGGGGGGTGACACCATTAAGTGCCGCACCGGGTGACACCCGACCTCGCTACGCCACTGGAACAAACCCATAAAAAATAAGCACGCATAGATTACATAACAATATTTACCGTTTTGTGATGCCGTTTTTAGATGGACCGGTACTGGGTGTGTTCAAATGCTATTCTATAAATAGAAACAAGTTAATTAAAAACGATATTGCTTATATTAGTTAACGGTACAGGAAAGAAGCGCATTGCTTATTTCGTTTACGTTGACGGAAATAAACACTGTCTAAAAATCGACTTGGTAAAATCTATTTTAGTCAATCTACACAAAACAAAAGTAAAATTCTACACCTGAGTGAATATTTGTGATTTCCGTGTGTTGATGGCGGATCAGGGGGGTAAATAATAGATGAAAAACCCACCTGAGGGGTTACAAAAATGTTTTTTACCTGGTGGGGTGGGGGGGGGGGGGTGGTCACGTGGGAATTAAAAACATTTTCATTGGCCGGGGCCAGTGTTTGACGTACGTTTCTCGTGTCGTCGTTACATTTCGGTGTTTACACGCACCCTGCTGGCGAAGTGTGGGCGGAGGGGGGGGGGGGGGTGAGAACGACCCGCGCGCGCCACCTAGGGTCAACTTGTCTTTTGTTTTCATTTTGAATCTTGTATGAGGTATCGACAGTGATGTAACAACAGTACTCGGGGTTCTATATCGTCGATACTCATTTTATATCAGCCAATTCGTGTCGGCTCTAGATTAGTTCTTATATTAGAGTTTGGGGGGGGGGGGGGGGGGGGAGGGGGGTAGAAAATTTAGCAAGCTACTCACGTTTTTACTATTTAGCCAAAAAAAAAGGTTTAATTTTTTTATTTTAATTTCAGTGTGTTAGTTCTTGTTAGTGCGTTTATTTTATTTTTTTAAATATTTAGTAACTATGTATTTAAAACCATAAAAAAGTACAATATTTACTTTTTTTTTCTTTTAGTTCGTTCATAAATTAATCGACAACACATACGAGTAACAATTTTAACTTTAAAACGCGATCGGCTATGTTAAACGACAATTATCTGCTCTTTATTAATTTCCGTTGTCGGATCTCATGTGTGAAAATATCCGTGAGCACTGACTCACCTGAGTTCATCCGACTGCTAGTACTTGATCACATTACCTCCCTTTTTAAAAAAAAATCACATTACCTCCCCTTTCTTGATCACATTACCTCCCTTTTTTATTTATCGCATTACCTCCCCTTTTTAAATTGAAAACATTCATCTGAATTAGATTGGAAATTATATCTGAGATATTCTTGCATTGTCATCGGAGATAATAGCAAGCAGGAAATACGGATGAATGGTTGAGATTAAGTTGAGATTAAGTGTAGGGATTATAGGAATAGTAAGGATTTAGGTAAGGGATTAAGGGGCTCTACCTACAGCCCTCGTTTTAACCACTCGCTGATTGCTGTGTGCAGCGGCCCGGAACGGACACGTGCATGTTTTATCTTACTGCTCACACTGTGCACGTGATAAGTTCAAGTGGTGAAACCTTGTGACCTATACACCATATGACCCACACACCATATGACCCACACACCCCACTGTACCCACACACCATATGACCCACACACCCCACATACCCCACTGTACCTACACACCCAAATATACCCACACACCCCAATGTACCCACACACCATATGACCCACACACCCCACATACCCCACTGTACCTACACACCCAAATATACCCACACACCCCAATGTACCCACACACCCAAATATACCGACACACCCCACTGTATCCCCTTTTACGACCATGAGGAAGATGCAAAACATTTGACGCAACACATTTCTTCAAAGAGGAGTTTTACCGATGGAAGTGGTAGCGGGGGGGGGGGGGGTGGGGATCGTATATATTTGTATAGAGGACCAATTACCTAATTTTTCTAAATTTTTTCGAAGTGACTACTCGGAAGAAGATTTTTCTCCCCAACGTCTCCACTTAGTCGGCAAAAGATAGCTCTGCGCATGCTCAGTGACCTATGGCTAGGGTTAGAATTAGGATTAGGGCTAGGGTTAGGGATAGGGTTAGGGATAGGGATAGGGTTAAGGTTAGGGATAGGGATAGGGTTAGGATTAGGGTTGGTGTTAGGGTTCTGCGGTTGTAAACACACGCATGCGCAGTATCATCGAAAACATCGCCGCGATGGAAAGTCGTAGTTTCTCTCCATTGCGCATGCGTATCTTTTTCCGGCTAGCATCGGCCAAATTTTTTTTTTCGTGTAAAATTTGCAGTGTGAGATTTAAGAATCATCAGAAAAACGCGAGTTAAATAATTTTCTTCTTTCAACAGGAACAGCTGGCTGCCGACTTGGAACTTGGACAAGGAGAACGGCGAGGGCGCCGCCATGCAGGTCAACTATGTGCGCGTGTGGAAAATGGCGGCCAACCCTTAATACCCAGCATCCTTTAGTGGGGTGACCATACGTAAATTGTTACCCCCAGCCCCATTTTTTGAAATGTTTCCGTTTTAACATAGTTCATAACGTCGGTGTTCAAGTGACTTGTTATAATAGTAGAGTGTCTTGTCTAATTGTTTTTTATATAAAATAAACTAATAGAAAACAAAGGGAATTTCCAGTAGAGTGTTTGTGTAATTGTTTTTTTATTAATATATTAATAAACAAAAAGAAAACAACTGGAATATCTATTCTATAAATAGGCCTAGAACAAAAAAGGGACAGGTTTCGTCTGTATTAATCATTACCTGTATGTCATTAAATCAATGGCCGTTAATCCGGTGTTAATCTTTTGCTGTCGCGTTTGGTTGTTGATTGTATCTAATTGTCACGAACTGTTCAAGTGCTTGGTGAGGTGTATGACGTACACAAGTCTTTTACGGTGATACAGCCGAATGATACTGAACTGTAGTACTGTATCCCTTGGGTTGTACTATATCCCAAAAGGCAATTTTCTATATCCATAGAAGCAAGTACTGTATCGCTGTGGCAAGTAGTGTATCCTTAGGGGCAAGTACTAAATCTTTAGGATAAGTACGATATCCCAGGAGCAAGTACTATATTCACAGGGACAAGTACTATATACCTAGAGGCAAGTACTATATCTTTAGGATAAGTAATTCAACCATAGAAGCAAGTACTATACCCTTAAACAACCACTACAGACCTTAGTCTTGATACTAACGAGCTGAAATTTGAACGATTGACGGCATTAGGTTCCATGTCCTTAGGTCACCGATACTGAGAATGCAATGCAAAGTGAATGAGAAAATACCATTCATTTTAACGTCATGTCTATCGCTATAAGCATCCTGGCTCACGATCAGAAACAATCAATAGCATTATCTTTAAGTAAAGATCCTGACGGCTCATGGGGCAGGTTAAGTTATTCACTTGTTTCTGTGACATCGGTATATGAAGGGATAGTGTAGTCAGCACTATGCCCAGACGCCTTTACTCTCCCTAACGTGAGTTGGGTACCCATCAGAGCTGGGTGGACTCAGGGTCGTTCTACGGACTTGAACCTGGATTCGAACTCGAGACTTTCCATTCGACCATAACATTATCCTCAGCTAATTTTTTTTTAAAGAATTCATAATATCTAGTCTAAACCATCCTTGTCTTTGACGCCTGAAAATAAAGTCGTGAATTTCAAAACAAAAAATAAAAACAATCTACGTTGATTTTGTAAATTTTATATTTTTATTATTTACATAACATGAAAGCCTCGACAATCACAGTTACATTGTAACACAATTCATGTAGTTGAAGTCTATTGCACAGGCCCTATACAAAAGTAAACTCAATCACAAAACAGAGTTTGGTAGTGGTCGATATAGTGAAGTAAATTTGGACATTTGAATGGCGCTGTATGTAGTGATGACTGTAGTGCGTTACATAATTTTCGCTTGGTCAAACAGTGGGACAAACACAATAGAGAAATGAGTGGCCAATTGAGAAATGGGTGGCCAATCGAGAAATGGGTGGCCAATCGAGAAATGGGTGGCCAATAGAGAAACGGGTGGCCAATGCATTGCAATCAGTACATGATGTATGGTGTGTACAGGGTTGGCCAAGTTAGACAATACTAGATGGATGGCCACATGGATGGCCAAGTTAGACAATACTAGATGGATGCTTTAGTCAAAATGTTCAAGATGGATGGCCAAGTTAGACAATACTAGATGGATGGCCAAGTCAAACAGTACCATAAAGATGTGATTCTAGAAATGATGCGAATTATTTATATGTATACAACAATTTTCATGCAGAAAAATAAAATAATATACATTTTTATCGTTTCGACGTTTTATGTATTCTTAAAAAAATAATACTTTAATCTTTTGGATTGATCACGCGATTCCAACTAAAATCTACGAGTAAATACTGGAGAAACGTGTCTAGAATAAGCGGAAAGTAATGAAAGACAACCTTTCAAAAGACATTTGTTTATCTGTATGTTCATTAAGGCTGGAGTTTGTGTAAAAAAAATAAGGTGTGTTTAATGACCGGATACTTTCAAACAAGTGAAAAAAATCACCGGAAAATTTCAAAAGAAAACTCGACGGCAACAGGTACAGGCAGGTGTGCCGAATAATTTTACAGGTGAGATTTTACAGGTGAGATTTTACAGGTGAGATTTTACAATTTACTTTGTTAAAAAATTAATAACATTTTCATGAAAGTATTTCTCTGATTAAAAAAAAAACGCTAACTAAAACAACACAACTGATACGTAAAGAGCGCTAACTACCAAGACAGGCAACGCTAAAACAGCTGCCAAAACAGACGATGTTCAATCATACCAACAAACACAGGCACTGGTAAAATACCTGCAAAGTGGGCACTGTTAAAACTTCACCTGCTACTGTGAAAACCCAATCTGATTAAAACCCAATTAATTACATCACTAGATCAACTATGCTAAATCCAGTTAATAACATCAACTATCCTACACGCCGCTAATTACACCAACTATGCTAAATCCCGGTAATTACATCATCTATGCTAAACCACGTTGATTACATCTTCTATTTCAAAACCCAGTTCATGCATCAACTATGCTAAACCCGTTAATTACATTAACTATGCTAAAATCAGTTAATTACATCCTGTATACTAAAGCATGCTAAACTTACACAACTAGATAGACTGACACGTTTGTCCCGACATACATTTACATCCATTTAAAAAAAAAATTAAACTTTCTGTAAATACATGTCGGGGTCCAAACTGACCAGTTTTTGGCTGAAAGCACCTGATGCTTTGGCTGCAGTTTTTTAATCCCCCCAATCCCTACCCCTAACACCCCCACCCCTACCACAAACACCCCCCCCCCCACCCCGTTAGTTTTATAGACACTTGACGTAGGCGTCTGAGCTGGCATTTCAAATTCAACAATAAACATTTGACCTTCAGTTTTTACAAAACATCTGGCAAGCTCGCGGTTCACACGAACCTGCCGTATTTAAATATCACCCGGACTTGCCAGTTAAAAAAAAAAAAACACGTATCTGCTACAGTTAGATTACAAGCATGGAGCTACGTAAATGTATCCTGTCTGATAAAAAATTTTAAAATATTTTTGCTTTGATACACAATAGTATTATGTACACACAAATCTGTTTACAACATCAGATCACATAAGCCAAATTGGCAAAAAAAAAACCCAGCCAAAACAATATAATTTATCTGGATTTAATATGAACCTTGGTTTTTCTCTCACCGGAAGAATTAAACACTACATTTCTTTGGTTCAATTATGTCGTAATACTTGTTATATAACAATGTTTTGGTAGTTGCCTTTTGTTAGGGACATTATTTTAAAAAGTTTTATAAATACATGGGGCGTCCCTAAGGACAATGTACACAAGATAAATGCGGTTCGTGATGTCAGGTGACGTCAAGAAGGATTAATATTCAGCCACGTCGGAGGTGTGTCAGCCTTCTTTGTTTAGATGAGTCTATGTCTTAACTATATGTGCAGAGTTTCTTTCAGGCATGTCTCCTTGGGGGGGGGGGGTCACCTTGAATCACATACCACTCCCCTTTCCCCTTCCCCCAGGACGAAATAGAAAACAATATATAGAAAATATATTTTTAACCAATGTTCCACCTCCCCTGGAAATTTTAAATAGCCCCCCCCCCCGGAGAAAACTATGTGAAAGAAACCCTGCCTATGTTTTGATGTACGTGCAGCAGGCAGGTACGATGCAAGCAGCTCAAACCAAACCTACCACCAGGAAGATGTTGATTAGCGAGCTGCGCATGCGCGAAATTTTCGCCTGAAGTTTTGTCCCAGTAGGAAGTGTTTGGCCGCAGTGTCCTGGGTTCGAATCCATGCCCCGACAGGAAGGACCATCTAGCTCTGTCACTCAGCATCCTTGTTGTTTATGTCCAATAGATCAACGGCTTATTCTCGGCTAGGCTGTAATCTACTTTACATCGTCTTTTATTTTCTTGAACATGGTAAAATTACGCCAAATTTTTTTTTTCAGAAATGCATCCAAAAAGTCTGATCTAAGTTAGAAATTACCACTGAAAAAGCGGGCCAATTGTGTGGACCTTATAAGTAGTCATTTCTATCATGTCATCTTCAACTAAGAATATCTGACCTATTATTGAGAGACCTTTACCAAAAACATTCGATATATCTTGAGACCAAAAACAGTTTCTGACCAATCGTAAGACCTTCAACAAAAAAGTCGGACCTATCTTTTCTGGCCAATTTTGAGACCTTCACCAAAAAGGTCAGACCTACCGAGCGACCAAAACTTTTACCGCCGACACTTTGTACAGAGCTGTCGGCACTTATCCAGCGCCTCAATGAACATGAGCTTGAGTTGGTTTCGAAACCTGGTCCCCGATACGCAGTAGAGGATGAAGTTGATGGAGTTGTTGGTGTACATGATGAAGTTGGCGAAGGTGTTGAAGATGCCCTGCTCCACCTTGTACTGACCGCCGGGGAACAGGTAGGGCTGTGGACAAGGAGGTCAGGTGGTTAGGTAGGGAACATGGGGTGTTGGTAAGGAACATGAGGTGGTGGTAGGGAACATGGGGTGTTGGTAGGGAACATGGGGTAGTGGTAGGGAACATGGGGGGTGGTAGGGAACTTGGGGTGTTGGTAGGGAACATGGGGTGTTGGTAGGGAACATGGGTGGTGGTAGGGAACATGGGGTGTTGGTAGGGAACATGGGGTAGTGGTAGGGAACATGGGGTGGTGGTAGGGAACATGGGGTGGTGGTAGGGAACATGAGGTGTGGGTAGGGAACATGAGGTGCTGGAAGGGAACATGAGGTGGTGGTAGGGAACATGAGGTGGTGGTATGGAACATGAGGTGCTGGAAGGGAACATGAGGTGGTGGTAGGGAACATGAGGTGTTGGTAGGGAACATGGGGTGTTGGTAGGTGTCTGCTACATGATGGCATAACAAAGCAGCTCACTCTCGGTATAAGGGATGGCAGATCCTTTGAGTGTTTGGAAAATAATTAACAGCAACATGTCACTTTATTTTAATTCATCAACTAAAATTACGTAAATTAAATTTACGAATTAAATTACCTTAACAAAGTCATAATGCCAAATTAAATTAAATTCACTAATTAACGTCACCTTAATTAAATTTATTAATTAAAATTTTGTTAATAAACTAGTTAATTACCTTAAAGGCCAGGTAGATAGAGATTGGCACCGTGCAGACGACGAAGACCGTGTTGATGACCACGAGTGACCGCGTCAAACTTTTGCTCTTGCTCTTGGCCTTGTGTGTCAGCTGCACGCTGCTGGACCTCCGCCGCTTGAAGGGGCTGGGCAGCTTCCTGTGCCAGAACCCTCTGGCGCCAGACTTGTGCTGCGAGGGGCTGGAACTGCCCTCGCTGGACGCACTGACCGTCGGCGTGATCGCTTCCTTGTCGGTGATGGTGTTACGTATGATCGGGTTGGTGTCACCGGTGGTGTCAGTGTCACCGTTAGCCTTGACGTCAGAATTCGCGTAAGGATGGTGCGGGGTGTATTGAATGTTTATACTGTTATTGTTATAGACATGATCAGTGATTCCCCCTTGTTGGTCGGAGTTATCGTCCTTGTCAGCGTTCAACCCTTGAAGCAGGCTAAGACTCTTGAGCTCCGTAAAGGCAGCTTTGTCTTGTTTCTCCGCATAAACTTCCCCGGCGCTACAACTTTTCCCGGACGTCACAAACGCATTCTCCGACAACGCGTACACCGGCGTTTTCCCTAGCCTCTGATCCCCTTCCACGGTAGATATCTCCGTTTCGTACACGTCATCCGTCACGTGACTCCCGCTATCCTCGCGTTTCTTCTTCCTCCACTTCGACACAACCACGGACGTACTCGCCGCCGATTTTAAACTGCTGGCGCCCGCTGATTCTTCAAGTTTCCCAAGAGCTTTATCACTCCTCGCCACGCAGATCACAAGAGCTGTGTTCAGGCAGATGAGAATCAGCCCGGGGAGGACCGTGAACTTGAGTAAGACAATCCACCCCCAAATATGGACGTAGAACTCTTCATACGACTTGTCCGTGAAGACGCACTGGTTCCAGACTTTCTTCTTCGGGTCCCAGACGTCGCCGTACATGAGGAACATGGGTAGGTTGATGACGTGGAAGATGACGATCGTGACAAGGATGGCGATGTAGACGCGGCGCTTGGTGATGAGCCGCTTCATGGGCCAGGCGATGGAGATGAGCCGCGCGCTGGAGACCAAGACGAGGGCCCAGGAGCTGAGGTCACAGGTCACGTACGACAACCAGCGGTGGAATCTGAGAGGAAAATTTTATACAGATGGCATTAGAAGTTGTGCAAATTGGGGGGGGGGGTGAATTTTTTAAAAGCCTGGGGCAGCGGTCGTCGTGGTCGAGTCGGTAAAGCTCATGGTTGCTAAACCGAAAAGTCCCGAGTTCGAATCCTTCGGCTAGACAGCTGGGGACAGCAACTCATCTAGGAGAGACAACTGCAAAATCAAACAACTGCTGCCTTGAAGTTTGTTCTTGGTTGGAAGCAAATCCATAAAAGAAAAGCAGGCTGAAATCGGACTCAATGGCCTTTATGGCGCATTACAAGTTGACACGTAATACTTAATTGTATTGGAGGGGATCTCTTCCAACACTAAAATTAAGGGCGTGGTCTAGTTTTTGACAACACCCCTGGTTAACCTGGAAGTTACTCGTTCGATACCCCTGATCAAAGCCATCGTTTCAACGGAATTGCTTTAAGCTTGGCGTAATAACATATTTCGAACATATTTCCACACAGGACGCTAAAAGGGAAGTGAGAAGGGTGAGACTCATGATGAAATTGGTTCATTCCGAATCAACATTTTTTTGGTCCCATAAAATATATCAGGTTTTTTTTTGGTCCGTTGAAAGCGAAGACGTGTCATTGTCAAAAGGTCATGTCTGACGTCAGTACCAGGTCACTGTGTCACAGAGTTAGGACTTCGTAGTCAGAGTATTAGTCACACTGTCTCCCAGTATTAGTCACACTGTCTCCCAGTATTAGTCACACTGTCTCCCAGTATTAGTCACACTGTCTCCCAGTATTAGTCACACTGCGTCCCAGTATTAGTCATACTGTCTCCCAGTATTAGTCACACTGTGTCAGAGTATTAGTCACACTGTCTCCCATTATTAGTCATACTGTCTCCCAGTATTAGTCATACTGTCTCCCAGTATTAGTCACACTGTCTCCCAGTATTAGTCACACTGTGTCAGAGTATTAGTCACACTGTCTCCCAGTATTAGTCACACTGTCTCCCAGTATTAGTCACACTGTCTCCCAGTATTAGTCACACTGTCTCCCAGTATTAGTCACACTGTCTCCCAGTATTAGTCACACTGTCTCCCAGTATTAGTCACACTGTCTCCCAGTATTAGTCACACTGTCTCCCAGTATTAGTCACACTGTCTCCCAGTATTAGTCACACTGTCTCCCAGTATTAGTCACACTGTCTCCCAGTATTAGTCACATTGTGTCCCAATATTAGTCACACTTTGTAAGAGCATAAAACATATTGTGTCCTACCTCAAAAGTGTGTCTTGGTTTTAGTGTATCCTGTGTCTAAGTGTGTCTAAGTGTGTCCTAAATCATAGTGTGTCCTAAATACGTATGTGCTCTTAGTCATATAGTGTGATAATTTTTAATGTTCCACTGTCATAGTGCCCATACGTCATAGTGTCTCCTGATTCACACTTTGTCAAAATTAATTATGTTTCTTATCAAGAAGTGTCCTTACTTGTTTTTATTGACACACAGTGTCCTAGTTTTTTGTGTCCTAATTTACTGTGCTTTTCAAATACAAAGAAAATACATACTGCCATTACGGTAGTGACGTAGTCAAGTATCAAAGTCAAGGACAGGTCAAGGTTGTACATTAAGTAATTAGGCGAAAACAAACATGCTTGAGTAGTTGAACCGTGGAATTTAGATCTACAAAAACAATTAAAGGCAGACCATTCTCTCTTAGTTGTGAACTTGGCAGAGAATATTTTAAACGTGTTTACATTTAAACTTAAGGTTTGGGGCGAAAGATTTTAGTTCACGTAAACAACCAGCATGTAAACACAAGTGTTCCGTACATCAGCGTTAAATGTGTTTGTGTGAGGTGTGGGGGTGAGGGGGTGAGGTGTATGGTGTGTGGGTGGGGGTGGGGGTGAGGTGTGTGGGTGAGGGGGTGAGGTGTGTGGGTGAGGTTCTGTGGGTGTGAGTTGTTTTGGTGGGGGTGAGGGTGTGAGCTGTGTTAGGGTGAGAGGTGTGAGGGTGTGTGGTGTGTGGATAAGGATGAGGGCGATGGTAAGAGGTGTGAGGGTGATGGTGGTGGGTGTGAGATATGCGTGAGGGTGTAGGTGTAGGTGTGAGGTGCATGGGTGAGGGTGACGGTGATGATGATGGTAAGAGGTGTGGGTGTGAGGGGGTGAGATGTATGGGTGAGAGTGAGAGTGACGCTGACGGTGACGGTGATGGTAAGAGGTGTGTGAGTAGGTGATGGTGAGAGGCGTGGGTGGGTGTGTGAGAGTGCTATTCCACGTTAATTACCTATTACCGCCAGTTCTGGAATCCGAACGAGTTTTAAAATACCACATCCGGTACACGAATAGAAAGTTGAAGCTGTTCGCGTATGTTAAAAACTAAAAACAAAAAAAAACTCCAACTGCTAAAAAACTGTGAAGATCTGAGAACTTACCGTTAGCTGTTGAAATATTTTTAAAGTTTAGCAAAACAAACATTGGATAAGTGAAGATAAATTATCTTGAGGCTTAATTCACTTGATGTTTATTTGTTATAACTTTATTATGAAAGTAAAAAATAAAATGAATTTATTTATTCCTTTGATTATGAGATTTGTTGTAATTTAATGAACGCTAAATAAAATATGTTGTTTCATTTTTTTGTGCAATATATATAGGCAGAAATCAATCAATATCGCTAAACGCTAATCTTAATTCCCCCCCCCCCCCCCCACTCCCATCTTGGGCTGGTCAACAAAAAACTATTTTGTTTCGTTTCTGGCGTCAACACCACCTGTTGCTGAACTGTATCCGGTGAGTTTCACATTTTTATGTTACCGAGATAAAGTCTCCGCGTCACGTGATAGCTGTGTGTTGTTGTCTTTCGAGTTTTCTCTCAGGCCGGATGATATAGAAAAAAATGTATAATTTATATAGAAAATATAGGCTTTAAACAGTTTCCGCCCCCAACCCCTTTGGAAATTTAAGATTTAAGTAAGCCCCCACCCACAGTAAGTCTCAAATCCCCACCCCTTGGAAAAAAAAATTATTTAATAAATGAGTTGGGTATTGTAGAGTTCGTCGCTACGAAAATTATTTTTGGAATGATATATCTGTTTACTAATGCAGCTCTGGCAAAAATGGTTGTATTGCAGTATTGGTATTTTTCCAGATTGTGATTTATTTTATTTTTCAGTGTGGTCCAAGTTTCTTGGTCGTTTATTGTGGGATCGCTGGTATAGGTTATCCATAAATTCTGAGTTTGTCAGTTATTGTTATGTCTATGTGATAGTTATCTTTACCTTTCCATTTACCTATACCCATTACTTTTGATTTTTCTGCGTTTATTTTTCCCCAGCTTCCTTTCCCAAAGTTATAAGCAAACTATATTTAGTGACAGCATTTAGAAGAAAGCCATAACACAGTCTGTTTGGTAAGAGACAATCAACAGATCCCAGATTTTAATATTACAGCCTCTAAAGTGTGTAAAAACAATTTTTAAAGTTACCTAAAATATTAGTAACCAAAGAATTACAACCAATGTGTACAAACGTGATTTTACAAATACATAGTCATGTTTTTCTGATCAAATATGTACGATAAACAGTTTATACGATTGATAAAAAAATCTGAAAATATTTAAACTCTCCTTTGACTGCCCAGCCCTTATGATGCCATTATGTAAACAAATGTAATTTTTGAAGAAAAAGTAATTTTAAAAGGCTGTTGGACTTGAAATACCATAAAGTAAATTTGACCAAATTTGTAATGTTGATCATAATTTGTAATTTTTACCATAATTTGGAACGTTGATCATAAAATGTAATGTTAATCATAAAATGTTAACTAACCATAATATGTTAACCATTACATTTAATGTTGACAATAAAATGTAATTTTGATCAAATTCGTAACGTTGACCATAAAACGTAATGTTTATCATAAAATGTTTGACGATAACATGTTGACCATAAAATGTATTTTCGACCACAAAGTGTAATGTTGACCATAAAATGTTGACCATAAAATGTTGACCATAAAATGTATTTTAACCCACAAAAAGAAATGATGACCATAAAATGTTGAGTTGGCCATAAAGTGTAATGTTGACCATAAAATGTTGACCATAAAATGTTGACCATAAAATGTTGACCATAAAATGTTGACCATAAAATGTTGACCATAAAATGTTGACCATAAAATGTTGACCATAAAATGTTGACCATAAAATGTTGACCATAAAATGTTGATCATAAAATGTTGACCATAAAATGTTGACATGTTGACCATAAAATGTTGACCATAAAATGTTGACCATAAAATGTTGACCATAAAATGTTGACCATAAAACGTTGCCCTATAATATAAAACTGAACTTACTGACAGGAGAGTACCCCAGCTTTTCTCACATCGTAGTCGAAGACCGACCTGGCGGCGAAGTAGACAACTCCCGTGTAGAGGGCGCCTAGGTCGGCCAGGGTCAGGAAGCGGAGGAACACGCCCACAGTCGTCACCCTGGGGAGGGGAAGGTGGTGGTGTAGTCATGTCCTAGCTAGATCAAGTCATGTCCTAGCTAGATCAAGTCATGTCTTATTTAGATCAAGTCATGTCCTAGCTAGATCAAGTCATGACTTAGCTAGATCAAGTCATGCCCTAGCTAGATCAAGTCATGACCAAGCTAGATCAAGTCATGACTTAGCCAGGTCAAGTCAAGTCATAACTAGATCAAGCCATGGCTTAGGTAGATCAAGTCATGCCCTCGCTAGATCAAGTCATGTCCTAGCTAGATCAAGTCATGTCCTAGCTAGATCGTCATGCCCTCGCTAGATCAAGTCATGCCCTAGCTAGATCAAGTCATGTCCTAGCTAGATCAAGTCATGTCCTAGCTAGATCAAGTCATGTCCTAGCTAGATCAAGTCATGACTTAGCCAGATCAAATGTTGACTTAGCCAGATCACGTCATGACAGCCAGATCACGTCATGACTTAGGCAGACCAAGTCATGACTTAGCCAGACGAAATCATGACGTTTATCAATATAAAGCCATGCTGCAGCTCAAGCTGTATTCTAGCTAGATTAAGTCATAAATCAAGTCAAGACAATTTCTCATTATACAAAGTATACGTTAAGTCAAGCTAAATGGAGTCAAATCATGTAAAATGTCTTGATAACTAATTAACCTAATTCAAAGACTATTTATAACACTTTCATTGCTCATGTAATAGTCGAACCAACTATAAAGACTACCCTAAGCACTTAATCTTAACACCATCTTGTTCAAAATGTATACTGAAGGTAAAAGTACTCTGGAAACATACACCCCACCCCCACACTCCCTTCGGGACGTAAAGAAAAAAAATATAATGTGTGCAGAAAATATTTACTTCAGGGGCGTAGCGAGGGGGGGGGGGGGGGGGCGGGGGGTGCGGACCGCACCGGGTGACACCATTTAGGGGGGGTGACACCGAGGCAAAAAATATCAAAATATATAGAGAAAAACTTGAGGAGGGGGTGCAATTCGAAAACTTGAGGGGGGGGTGCAAATCGAAAGTTTGAGGGGGGGGGTGCAAATCGAAAACTGGAAAGTTTGTCCCCGGGGAGGGTCGCAACGCCTCTGGGGGGTGACACCATTAAGTGCCGCACCGGGTGACACCCGACCTCGCTACGCCACTGATTTACTTTAACCAGTGTGTCCCGTCTCCCTATGAAGTTCCAAGACCCCCCCCCCCCTCCACACACACACACACCACCAAAAAAATGCCTGAAAGAAACCCTGGGTACGACTAACTGATGAGTCGACACATTTTTCCCCCCACTCACCTGAATGTTTTCCTGGACAGGACAGCAAACGACAGGAAATTCCCGATGGTCCCGAAGACCAAGAGAAACATGGCATAATATTTCTCCATGAATTCGGTCACCGGATGCATCGGCGTCCGCGCGGTCACCGTGACATTGGCCAGACTGGTCAGACTGGTCAGACTGGTCGAGTTTATCGTCAGGAAGGCGTCTGTCACGTTGAAGAAAGGCGGGAAAGTGACGTTCATTGTTGTTGTTAATGTGTCTTGCTTTCAGGGAGATCGCCCAGCTAATGAGAAAATTGGTTACATCCGCAAGGTTGCAGTTATGGTTCTTTAATTTTCCGATGGGAAAATTGTGGTTACAGAAATTGTAAGTTTTAAAAGGTTGCAGTTACGTCCCTTGAAAATTTCAATGTAAGTTTATAGATAGACCCATTGAATATTTTAAGTGTGTAGTTAGGATTCTTAATAGTGTCTCTAAAAATGTATAATAACGGTCCTTGAGAATTTCTCTAAAAGTTTAAATCCTTTCAGAATTTCTTAAAGATTGAAGAATCGTCCCTTAAAAGCTTCGCCGAAAAAGTAATAGTTACTTCCCTTTAGCGTTTCCTCAGAAGTCTGTAGTTAATTCCCTTCTCTTTAAGAGATTCCCATCTCTTTAAACAATTTCTTTTTACCATTCCGTAAAGTCGCCAAGAAAATTATGGTTTTTTTTCGTTCACTATATATAAGTTATACAAAAAAGAATTTTGAGCGATGGATATCATCCATGGATCGCATCCACGCAGTTTTTTTGTGTCAACAAGTGGATTATTTCTCGCAGCGATCAAGGAAGGCCATGTGAACGGTCGATTGATGGCGGAGGTCGATGAACAGTGAATATCTGGTCATTATGTATGTTAATTTATTCACGTCACTGTGTTGGCTAATCAATGTCCGCATCCAATGATTGTTTAGTGATTGTTAAATCAGAAGTATGCAATGAACAATGTTTTTGAAGTGATTCTTCAATCAGAAGTATGCGTTGACCAATGATTGTGAAATGGATGTTCAATCGAAGATGTAAACTCAGTAGATCAAACGGCCAATCAGGATTGTGTTATATCCAATTATATTTAGATGATTGTTCAATCAGAAATGTGTTATATCCAAGGATACTTAGATGATTGTTCAATCATTTATCTTTTGCTGTTCACACCAACACCTGTAAACGAGAAATGAAATAGAATTATTTTTTTTAAAATTGTAATTGGGAAGATTAAGATTATTTTCTTTACTATTACCTCACGTAACCGTAACCTTAACATTAACCCCAGTCCTCAACATTATCCCGGGCCTCGCCATAAACCCTAACCTAAGCGCTGATCTTAACCCAAAAATTTAATCTGGACCTACCCTTAAGCCCTACCCAAACTCTGGCTCTAACTCTGACCCTTGTCCTAATCCTAACCCTAATCTGTACATCTACCGCTGGTATTAACAACAACAAAACCATCTATAAGATCCTGTTTTTGGCCTACCGACGTTTTCATTATACAAACCAACATTTAATTTACATTCTAGATCTAATTATTACTCTCCCGTGGTGTTTTAATGTTAGTTTATTGTTAGGTGAGCCAGAATAGAATAGAATTTTTATAGAATTTTTTTTATTAATGTCCACCCCATCCCCACCCACACCCCCCGGTCAAAGAAAAAAGTCTGAAAGAAACACTGTCAACTAGAGAGTGATCTGGCAACATGGGTATTTGAAAAGTTATACAAGAAAACAAACGAAACAAAACGAAGCTGGATTATTCCAATTCGGTTTGATGTTTGCTTGCAAATAAGTACACTAATCAAATCACATTACAATCTGATTAATCTGTTTCGATACGTACATCAGCGCGTTTAACGATAGTTATATTTTCACAATGTATTTTACGTTTTGTCAATCATCATTTGATTGGCAGTTTGATAATGCTGGTTGATTCTTTATTGCTCGATCTACCAGACCAGCAGAGTTTTCTTCCAGGCATCTTTTCGGGAACGAAATGGCATATATATGGAAAATATACATACTTTTTCCAGTGTCGTACTCTCCCCCCCCCCCTCCCTTCCCCCGGAAATATCAAGTGCCCTAACTCCCCCGGAGAAGAAAGTCTAAGTATACTTGTCAACTTGTTATGTGCTACATAGTACGTTGACTCCGATTTCAGTCTGCTTTTCTTTTTGGAGTTGTTTCCATAGCCTTTGTCCAACCAAGAACAAACTACAAGGCACCAGTTGTTTCTCCTAGACGGGTTGCTATTCCCAGCGATCGAGCCTCATCTACCCGGAAGTCCGAACTCGGGGATTTTCGGTTCAGCAACCATGACCCGACCACGCCGAACTACTGGGGGATTTTTCAATATCATACAGATTCCTAAAATTATAAAAGCTCAGCCCCTATTTATTGTCTGGTTGTTAAGTATGTGTTTCTGTGGCAGTCTACATAAAATTCGTTCTGGTATTCTTGATGCCTCCGTCCGGCCGTCTAGTCACCTCCGTTTGGCCGTCTAATCGCCTCCGTCCGGCCGTCTAGTCGCCTCAGTCCGGCCGTCTAGTCGCCTCCGTCCGGCCGTCTAGTCACCTCCGTTTGGCCGTCTAGATGCCTCCGTCCGGCCGTCTAGTCGCCTCCGTCCGGCCGTCTAGTTGCCTCCGTCCGGCCGTCTAGTTGCCTCCGTCCGGCCGTCTAGTTGCCTCCGTCCGGCCGTCTAGTTGCCTTTGTCCGGCCGTCTAGTTGCCTCCGTCCGGCCGTCTAGTTGCCTCCGTCCGGCCGTCTAGTTGCCTCCGTCCAGCCGTCTAGTTGCCTCCGTCTAGCCGTCTAGTCAAGACCTTGCAAAGTTGGCGTAGTTATTGTAGCCGTCTTGTCCTTGTATGTTTGGCCGTCTAAAGTTATTTTTCTACCCCTTCTAAACGGAAGTTGTTTGATTGTCGTTTTATTTATTTTCTTCAGCCGTCTAGCCATCATTCGTAAAGGTGACTGGCTATCTTAAAGTTAACTCTGGCCGTCTAGTCTTCCTTCGTAAAGGTGACTGGCTATCTTAAAGTTAACTCTGGCCGTCTAGTCACTATTCGTAAAGGTGACTGGCTATCTTAAAGTTAACTCTGGCCGTCTAGTCGTCATTCGTAAAGGTGACTGGCTATCTTAAAGTTAACTCTGGCCGTCTAGTCGTCATTGGTAAAGGTGACTGGCTATCTTAAAGTTAACTCTGGCCGTCTAGTCGTCATTGGTAAAGGTGACTGGCTATCTTAAAGTTAACTCTGGCCGTCTAGTCACCATTCGCAAAGGTGACTGGCTATCTTAAAGTTAACTCTGGCCGACTAGCTGAAGAACGTCCCAGCTCTATCAGATTAGACCACAGGCTATCACGTGATGATCACCGATTTAAAATTCTCTTTCACTGGTCAAGATAAGAAATGCCACGGCACCCTGCTACCTCCCCCCACCCTAACCCGAGCCTCCATCGCCACCCTCCTCAACGGCAGCCTGACAACGTAAACCATCAAACGACAACAACACCAAAACCAGGGGCGGAGACCCCCCCCCCCCCCCCCGCTCTCCCAACGCTAACTATAGATGAAGACGGTGGTTCTAAACACTGTAACTCCCCCCCCCCCCCCCAAACTCTACTTCTCTCCCCCCCCCCCTCTCCCTCTCCACCCCCTTTCCAACACCGCCGCTGTCTATCCTATCTATTGATTAAGGAAATCTTTACCCGTGGTCGATTGGTTGAAAGCGAACAAAAACCTTGCCCTCTCGGCGATGATTGATTTTTAATCACAAGATAATATTTGGTTCATCCAGAGTTATCGTTCTTTTACTGTCGGAATCAGCCCATCTCTCTTCTCTCCCAATAAAATTGTAGAAATTACAATACGAATTTACAAAACCTTTAAAATTACAATACGAATTTACAAAACCTTTAAAATTACAATACGAATTTACAAAACCTTTAAAATAACGAGCTTTAAATGTACACACACAAAAAGAAAATAATTAATTTTTTTTTTAAATTAATTGTAAAATGCGTTCATTACTGTCAAGTACTGAAAATATTTCTTGAGTGTTATAGTACAACAAATTATGGTACATGTTTAGAGCATTTAATTTTAATTTAAAAGCTAATTATAAAGGTTTTTCGTTTTAAACTGCTTTTAGTTCAATTGTTAATGTATTTATTTTTGGTCGATTAAAATTCGAAGCTTCAAGTACGCTTTATAGTTGTATTTCATCCCTTTAGCTTTTTAAAAATAATCTTACTCGTTCTGTTTTTTTTATGGTCATTTCTTTTATTTTTTTTATTTACATGTTAGGCCGATCTTTGACCAGAAGGTAGGACAAATGGTCACCAATGTGTGTCACCAACGATTAGTCATCAACGACGTGTCACCATTATTATGGCACACACCAGTATACTTCACCATTATTGTGTCACCAGATTAATTTCATCAGTACAGTGTCAACAGTAGGCTATCACTAGTACAACACCCCAAATACCATGTCACCATCACCGTGTCACCATCGTTGTGTCACCATCACCGTGTCACCATCGTTGTGTCACCACATCAGTGATGTACACCTAAACTTAAACCTGCGGCAGGTATGCACACCTGGCTCATTCCCCTCACGTCAAACACAGGTAGACAAACACCCATTGTGTTGATAGTGATAGTCCCCACAAGAAATGTGCTCCGTGCAGCCATTTATATTGTTTTAAAATTCCAAACCAGGCCGAAGTTAACGAAACAAAGACACCGGACAAAGAGGGATGTGATTTTGTTGAAAAGCACACATTCTAGCGGACCCATTTATTTTCTTGTCCTTGTATTTATGGGGGCACCGTTTAAAGACCGCACAGCAAACTAATTATTAGCTTTGGTGTATTCTATCTTTGTCAAGTATCGCTAAGTCTAAAACTAGCCCTACCACTAACTGTAACATAGCCCTGATCCTTGTCATGGCATGAACCCAACTTTATCACACACACACCCCACACATACATTACCACACACCCTCACACACACCATTAAATACGCTTACACATTACCCACACAGAACTTAACCACATCACACCCACCCACACACACCTCAAACACCTTTACCACACATATCCCACACAACTTTACCACACATCCCATACATACACATTTATACCACAAATCCACACACACACATTACCCACAGATTACCCATTTACCACTACCAGACATCCCCCACACACAATTAGTACACATCACCCCACACTATTACCAACACATTTACAACACATCCCCCACACACTATTACTACAAATCTCCCCCACACAATTACCAACACCCAGTTGCGTAGCGAGGTCGGGTGTCACCCGGTGCGGCACTTAATGGTGTCACCCCCCCCCCCCCCCAGAGGCGTAGCGACCCTTCCCTGGGACAAACTTTCAAATTTTCGATTTGCACCCCTCCCCCTCAAGTTTTCGATTTGCACCCCCCCCCTCAAGTTTTCGATTTGCACCCCCCCCCCCCTCAAAGTTTCGATTTGCACCCGCTCAAGTTTTTCTCTATATATTTTGCTATTTTTTGCCTTGGTGTCACCCCCCTAAATGGTGTCACCCGGTGCGGTCCGCACCCCCCCCCCCCCGCCCCCCCCCCCTCACTACGCCCCTGCCAACACCTTTACACCACATCCCACATACCTTTACATTTAAACTTTAATACGTGCTAAACATCAACTAGAATTATAATCAAACAAAACCACTTCTGCTCTTTAATAAAAATCTTACCCAATCTAATTAAGCTCTTGTATGATCTAATTAAGCTCCTGTATATTATAATTAATCTCAGATTAGTAAGACATGGAAATAGCATTAACTATTTGGTATGAAATATTCAACCCGGATTTAGAGTTTTAAAAAGAACTTAAGATGAATATCATCGCGAAATAAATTCCTACGTGAAATTTTTCAACAGGACAATGGGATGGTAAGGAGTTTTTTTTTGGTAGCAGTTAATAAGACTAGAAAGACAGAATGATTAGTCTTAACCTGTGGCGTAACCAGGGGGTGCCAGGGGGGTTCAGAAGTAACAGTTTGGGCGAATGACCGCTTGTGTGGCTTAAGTTTCAAAGTTTACTATTTCAAAATTTTCAATGTGATTTGTCAGTGTGAGGTTTAACAAAGCACAAAATGACTTAAAA